ATACAAGACAAATAAATAAATAAATAAATAAATAAATTTTTTCCTTACCAGATCCCGCTAGATATATTAAGACTACAGTTTATAAAGTTCCCAATCAACTTTCTCACAAGCGATGCTATTAAGAATGTCTGGGAGACAGTTTTAGTTAGTTAAATGTAGCAATGATAGAACTAAAAGCATTTTTTAAAAGACATGCTTCATATTAAAGGTAAAGGTTCCCCTCGCACGTATGTGCTAGTCATTCCTGACTCTAAGGGGTGGTGCTCATCTCCTTTTCAAAGCCAAAGAGCCAGCGCTGTCTGAAAATGCTTCCATGGTCATGTGGCCAGCATGACTAAATGCGGAAGGCGCACGAAATGCTGTTTCCTTCCCACCAAAGGTAGACCCTACCTATTTTTCTACTTTCATTTTACATGCTTTCAAACTGCTAGGTTGGCAGAAGCTGAGACAAGTAACTGGAGCTCACTCCGTTACTGGCGCTAGGGATTCGAACCGCTGAACTGCTGACCTTTCTGATTGACAAGCTCAGCTTCTTAGCTACTGAGCCACCGCATCCCTTCATATTAAAAGTAGGAAAAATTAGCATAAATGTGATAAAAATGGGTTCTCTTAACAAGGCTCTCTGATATAGATTCCACAAATTTACATAACATCTATAGTTGCACCAATGTAACCCTAGCAAAAAGGGCTACTCTTGAAGTTCCTTCAACTGAGCAATGCACCCAGCATATATGTAGACGAGACACCCTTATGAACAACAGAGCATCATTTCAGCAAGAAATCAATGCTTGTTCTAGAATTTGGGATACTTCTTGTGCAAGCACACATTTAACATGCCTTCATAACTGGAAATGGCATGATATGCAATCGAAAACTGTATTAGACTGATTGATCACTGATTCATTTAATCTGAGTTTTCTTTCTCTGTACCTGCCAGGTTGTTAATTTGATCTCCAGATTAATGTATACAGCAAGTGACCAGTGTTGATGGTAGAAATGTCTGCTGGATCTTTTTCTGCAGACGAACTGCACAATTCTGACTAGTACTATGCCCCTATCTTAAAAGAGCACAACCATCAGCTAACCGCAGCCCTGCAAAGCACTTGCACAAAATATAAGCAAATTTTTAAAATGGCTACGATGGGTCCTTTTCAACTTTTAGATGAAGGTACCTTACACTAAGTCAAATGGATCTCTCTTGTCTACTATTATTTGAAAGGCAGCAGTTCAAAATGTAGTGATTTCTAGCCCTAAATTTGTGATGCTCTTTATAATGTAAATTGCAGGAAAATAGAAGCCAAGCTTTTAGATAATTAAATGACTCAATCTGAAGACCCCAGGATCAAAAATCTGAACATGTTTACAAACAAAAGGATACATAACTATTTTTCCCCAGGATCAAAAATCTGAACATGTTTACGAACAAAAAGATATATAACTATTTTTTCCCAGGATAAAAAATCTGAACATGTTTACAAACAAAAGGATATATAATTATTTCCCCCCCCAAAAGTCACATCTTGTTTGGACTAAACTCTCTTCTTTCCACCAGTATTAAGTCACTGTGCTAGAGAAAATTGGATGCTAAAAATATGAAAAATCCATCTTATTTAGCATTTAAAATGTGAGATTTTAAAGAAGAACTAAACTAAGATTTCTTCAAATGATGAATTACAGCTATTAAAGCTTACAGTTTGCAACTAACTAATATTGTACTTCAATATAAGTGGCACAGTCATCCTTTTGTCTAAATATATGTCCACATGGAACTAGTTTTCTCCAGGAAATGGGCCTTTCCCAAGTTCCCTAAGGCACTTGGTCTTTTGGGATTTAGATTCTAGGACAAACATTGGAAAGATGGACTTAAAAATAATGAAGTATTTTCTAAGAAAATACAAAGGAAGTTTTATTAGCACAATTTATTCAAAGATTTGCTAGAAATCAAATTTAAGTCAGGAACCATCATTTCAGCCTTAATTCATGTATTAAAAAAACCTCTTTGACTTGTTTCAGCATTTCTTTCTGTTTTGTGTAGACACATCTCTGTGTGTGCATTTGTGTCTCCAAATACACAAGAAAAGGTAATTCCTTGCAATCTAGGGCATCTCTTAATACAACTTTGAATATGTTTGGAAAGGTAAGAGAACTAGCTATTTTCTCTAGGGCAAAATGAGAAGAATTTAACAAATCATAAGCAGTCATAGTTATCTTTTCTGAAACACTTTGTTTTGTTAAACTTCCAACAGCTGTAAAAGGAATGCCAGAGGAAGAAACGATTTAACTTTTTCCAGCTGGTTCTTCCACTTACTCCCACTTTGTGCTTCTTTTTTCTATGGACCCCAGAAATGGTCTTGAGATAAGGCATGGGGCAACCTTAAACACCCAAAGAGCCACAAAGGTCCAAACTGGAAGCCCCCCATTCAATTCTAGAGCCAACCAGAAGTCCGGTTCCCCCACCAAAGAGGCTCCTCCTAGCATAGCCTCCTTTATTCTTCTGCCAACTGGAAGTACAATTTCCCACCACCACGATCATAGAGTCTCCTCCTAGCACAGCCTCCTTTTTCCTCTGCCAACCGGAAGTCCGGTTTCTCCCTCATAGAGTCTCCTCCTAGCGCACCCTCCTTTTTCCTCTACCTATCCTAACCGAAAGTCCCATTAATTGTGGAGCAACTGGTGACAGGGAGCTGCAGCAGAGGATGAAAGAGCCACATGCGGCTCCACAACTGCAGGTTGCCAACCCCTGGGATAAGGTAATAGTCAGAAAATTAAAACTCCCACTGAAACTTGGTATTCTTTGATATAAACTACCAGGGATTCAGGAGAAAAATAGAAAAAGTATCTAAAAGTATCTATCAAAGCAACATGTATGTTTCCATAAGAAGTTACTGAAATGTAGCTGAAAACCCTATCCTTTGTTAAGTTAATGTCTATCCTTAAGTTTGGAGAAAATCTGAAGGGTATTGCCCTTGCCAGATGCTGTCCTGCCTTTACAGAATCTGTACTAAGGTGCTGAACCAATTTTTTGTACACAGGTAGTCCTTGACTTACAACCATTCATTTAGTGACTGTTCAAAGTTACAACAGCACTGAAAAAAATGACTTACCACTATTTTTTCACACTTATGGGCACTGCAACATCCCCATGGTCATGTGATCAAAATTTGGGTGCTTATCAACTGGCATTATTTATGACAATTGCATTGTCTAGGAGTCATGTGATCACTATTTGTAACCTTACCAGTCAGTTTCTGACAAGCAAAGTTAATGGGAAAGCCAGATTCACTTCAAGACTGCATGATTCACTGTGGTAGAAAAAGTTATAAATGAGGGCAAAACTCACTTAACAAATTTTGTACTCAACTGTGATCATAACTTGAAGACTACCTGTACAACATGTGACCAGCAAAGAGAATGTTTAAGCCTTCCAATCTGGCTACTCTCTGTCTTTAGCACATCCCAACTTGCAGGAAAAAATTACCTACAATCATGATACTGTAATAGCAGTTGGACATGTCTAGTTGTTGAACTGTGCTTCTTATTTTTTCCTGCTATACCATTAAGAGCCAAGGTGGCGCAGTGGTTAGAATACAGTACTGCAGGCTACTTCTGTTGCCTGCCGGCAGCCTGCAATTTGACACTTTAAATCTCACCAGGTTCAAGGTTGACTTAGCCTTCCATCCTTCCAAGATTAGAAAAATGAGGACACAGATCACTGGGAGAAATATGCTGACACTGTAAACCACTTAGAGAGGGCTCTAAAGCACTTTGAAGTGATATATAAGTCTACTTGCTATTGCTATTCTATCACAGCCTAAGTTGAATAAAGATAGATAGATGGTAGGTAGGTAGGTAGGTAGGTAGGTAGGTAGGTAGGTAGGTAGGTAGGTAGGTAGNCACCTTTTTCCCTCAAAAAAGAGGTTGAAAATCTGGGAGCGTCTTATACACTGAATACAGCATTTTTTGCCTTCCGAAACCCTGTCCCTTCACCAAAATGGCCATGCACAGCCTGTAGAAGGCTTTCAGAGAGCTCCTGGGGGCTGGGGAAGGCAGAAATGAGTGAAAAACAGGCAATTTTTTGCTCAATTTTGCCCCCCCAGCCCCCAGGAGTACTCTATAAGCCTATAAGGGCTATGCATGGAACTTTTTGATAAAAAATGGGCCCGTTTTTGTGAAAAATGGGCCATTTTTTGCTCACTTTGGGGGGGGACGCTCACCCCCCAGGAGCCCTCTACAAGCCCCCTAAAGGCTATTGATGTCTTTTGGGAGGGAAACGGGCCCATTTTCTCAAAAAATCTGGCCATTTTTGGGAGGTTTGCAGAATGCAAAACCTTTTTCTTTTTTATTTGCCTCTTCAAAACCTTGGTGCGTCTTATACTCTGGTGTGTCTTATACAATACTTTCTTAGCTAATATTAAATAACTCACTTTACTTGAAACACTATTATGTTTATAATGAAATGGAAGCAACCTATTTGCCACAGACTAAAGGCTAACCTGAGTCCCCTCAGGGAAAAGGGCGGCCTATAAATGACAAATAAAACAAAACAAACAAAAACAAAACCATATCCCTACATTCTCTCACATTTAAGAAAATGTGTACACTGTACATCAGTTAACATGTATGAAAAACAGGTATCACATATGCCACATCTTTTCACTTCCACCCCAACTACAATTAATTTTAGTAAGTTCACTTGTTCATTTGTTAAGTGTTTAAAAGTCTGATTCATATAAAAAGTTTGTTTACTTGTAGTCTTCTAACAGCCATAATAACAATGATAATTTATGCATGCAAAACTATTGTAACACATTATTATGCTGTAAAAATTATAGAAAGCATAAGCATATTACCTTATATACGTGGATAGGAATATCTATGATGATGTAGATGAGATCTCCCAAGGCCAGACTGGCTATCAATGCATTAGGTCCATTCCTCATACATTTGTTCTGGTAGATTATCCGCAGGAGAGTTGCATTTCCAACAAGCCCAATGATGAATACTGCACAAGAAATTACTGTATTGATATGTTTTAAAGTACTAGCTATTGTGGGACGCCTTGCACAGCGACTGTTGTTAGTGTTGGGCTGATGGGCAAGAGTAATTAATTTATCTTCCAATTTTGTGGCAGAGGTTCCAGAATCATTCAGGCTGGAAAAGTCTCTTTCCAAACCTTCACTGATGACAGATCCAGTTACAAAAAGTGCCAAGATTATCCAAAAATGAAATGTTTCCATTTTTTAAATCTTCAAAATCAAGAAAATATGTTTTATTTAAAAACCTACAAAGAAAAAAATAATATTTATGTTGCAGTATTAGCGTAAACAAAGCTTCTATATCATTAAACAAAATGAGAAATGATTTTACTTTTAAAAGAGATCATCAGAAAACAAAATGTCAATCAAGCATGGGAAATCAAGAATCCAGGCAGTTCAAGTGAATTATACACCTTTATTGCAACTTTTAAGCTTTCTTCGAGAATCTGAATTACAGGTACTCCTCAACTTACAACAGTTCATTTATTGACCATTCAAAGTTACAATGGCATGGACTTATGACCATTTTTCACCCTTAGGACTGTTGCAGCATCCTAATGGGCACATGATCAAAATTCGGATGCTTGACAACTGACTCATATTCATGACAGTTGCAGTGCTGTAGCATCATGTGATCTCCTTTTGTGGCTCTGTCAAGCAAATCAACGTAGAAGCCAGATTCATTTAACAACTGTGTTACTAACTTACAACTGCAGTGGTTCGCATAACAACTGTGTCAAGAATGGGGCAAATGGCGCAAAATTCAGTTAACATTTTTTTTTTGTTTAGCAACAGGAATTTTGTCCTACTCCAGAAGAATGCCTTACTTCAGAGATATAAGTTCAGGATCTAGTTCCAGAGCAACCCATAGAAAGGTGGTGCAATATAATGCATTGAATAACTTTCATGTGACTCTAATCATGGTTTTATGTTTGAATGGATCATTTTAGTATATTACTAGCTTTACAATTTATCTTCAGTGCCAATTATTACTATCTAAAGAAGTAAAAGTAGAAAATTGTTCCTGTTTCCTGACATTCGCATACAACAGAAAAAATTTAACTGCCTTCCCTTCACCATTTCCCTCTTGCTAACAATCAATGTTCTGAGCCACTGTATTTTGCATACTTCTTCAGAAATTTCCCTTGTCTTCCCTAATATCATTCAAGTATTCCTTCTACTTGCCTGATCCATCACAGTCTTGGTATCCACAGTTATAGGCTCATATATTAAGTACTGTTTCTTTACTTATTCAAGCTCTTTTGACAGAAGTGATGGGTGTTTATTGTGATCGCTTTATTTTTATTTGAACTAAGAACTGCATTCGAAAGATATGCATATCCTTTGTCTAAGACAGCTTTCTTCAACAGTGTTTTGGACTACAAATCCCATAATCCCAAAACAGTATGTTAAATTCTGTTTAAATTCTGTACTGCTGCAGCATTGCTAACTAAAGAAAACTAAATTGGATTAAGTAAACTCCAGGTTTGGTTTACTTAAGCAATTATAATATAATCCCATTTAAGAATGCTCAGAATGAATACTTTGTGGCATTTGTTTCTAAGGCAATATGTTTATGCCTGCCATCTTAAACTGATTTCAAGCAGAAGATAGGTTACCAGGTGAAGGATGAAAACATTATAAGGAGTCTTAGGGAGCAACATCTACAATATTGACACCATGCAATTACATATTTGTGTCACAGCATCTGATATAATATATAAATTATGGTATATGTGTTGACACATTTCATCCTTAGTTCCTTTATGCTTAAGCCACTAGGTAACAGCACTTAGACTTATATAGGGCTTTTACAGCCTTCTCTAAGTGGTTTACAGAGTCAGCATATTTCCCACAATAAACTGGGTTCTCATTTTACCCACCTCAGAAGGATGGAAGGCTGAGTCAACCTTGAGCAGGTGAGATTTGAACTACTGACAGCAGCTAGCAGTCAGCTGAAGTAGCCTGCAGTACTGCACTCTAACCACTGCGCCCCTTCCACTCTATGATGGCAGGAGAGTGGTTCTATGTACCTTTGCCGCCATCTAATGGTTATCTATATTCTTGCAACAATGATCTCATAACACNAAGACGTCTCCGTGGTCATGTGGCTGGCACAACTAAACACAGAAGGCACACAGAATGCTATTACCTTCCAACCAAAAGTGGTCCCTATTTTTCTACTGGCATTCTTACATGCTTTCGAACTGCTAGGTTGGCAGAAGCTGGGACAAGTAATGGAGCTCACTCCGTTAGGCGGCACTAGGGATTCGAACCACCGGCCTTTCTGATCGACAAACTCAGCATTTTAGCCACTGAGCCACCACGTCCCTATAGCATCATTTACCCATACACATTCTGACAAGACTTAGATGACAATTCTGCTCAAAGTATTATCTATCAACTTTACTCCAAGGTTTCATACATTCATTCTGAGGAGCAAATAAGTGTCCTATGCTTTGTTTCCCTAAAGTCTCCTCCCTCTGTATTTACCAATTTAAATAGCTTGTGATGTTGAGCAGAAAATACACTTAAACTGTAGTGGAAGGCAGGCAGGCAGGCAGGAAGGACCTGACTCCTTTCTAAACTCTTAGGTCAGCAGAAAAGTGTCACCCAAATATTCAGCACATGGTTTTGGATAAGGTACTTAAGCCCTTCCATAAATCATGATGCCATCATAAATACCAATCAGGGTGATAAAATGCCCACTGGGAAGGAAAAGTGTTACATTGCTTATCAGGACAGCTAATACATTATGTCCAACCAACTGACAAGAGCAGTAGACTAGGATCACTTCCACCAATATCCTGCACTCATTGAACACTAAAGTGAAACCAGGCCTTTCTGGTTCTCTGACATGACCTTTTACTTTCTTCAGTTTCCTAACAATTATATTCTAAATTCTATTTACTAACTTGATTCAGCACATTTGTATCAAAAAGTAACATTCTAGTCATTGAGGTGTACCATAAGACCCTGTCTTAATTTTGGGGAAACACAATAAGAAAACACACACACACACACACACACTAAAAAAAAGGCCAGGAAATAAGCACTGTAAGGAATGAATATTTACAAGTTTCTGCAAGGCATCAAGTATTTGAAAAGAGAATAAATAAAATTGAGGGAGTAGAAAAAATGAACTCTTAGGGAAAAAATAAGCTTCAAAGGAATTTGTAATAGGAGTACATCAATCCAGACTATAGCATTCTGTCACCATTAATGTAGTGCTACATTTTGTTCTATATTTTGCAATAGGTAAAATATGCCCTACTATTTAATTTCTTGGAATCTCAGCTTTCTATTCTTTTTTTTTCTGTGTGGAATTGGAACTGGCTGTGACTAATTAGGAAAAAAGATCTTACAGTTATTATAGACTCTATTTACTGAAAATACCACCCCTTGTGCTTATATTTACTATAAAAAAGCAAATTTTATTTTTTAGGAGATGAATTTCAATCAGGAAGCAAACTGAAAACAGAACTGCTAATATAAATAATATTTTTGTACAAAACTATAAGGAAACCATATTCAGAGTGTTGTGTATAGTTCCAATCACAGAATTTTAAGAACGACAGTACAGAGCTAGAAAGGATAAAAAAGACTGTTCACACAATGATATAACCAACATGATTAGGGGTTAGAAGCTTCTTTTTTAAAAGAAAAGGCTACAGCACTTGGTTTTTTTAAAATCTTGGACCAAATGTAAGGGATGATATGATAGGGGTTTATAAATCATACATGGCATAGATTATGTGAATGCAGACAAGTAATGTTAGAACATCGGCTAAAACTAAATGTAGAAACAGGAGGTCATATAATCAGCTCCTACAAGATTTAAGCTAATTATAACCTAATCACCCAAATGATTTAATGGAAAATCTGTAAAAATTATCATGTACCAGTAATGAAAAATTGGAAGGAACATAACATTGAAAAAGTATCATATTTTTCGGACTATAAGTCACACTGGTGTATAAGACACACCAAAATTTTGAAGAGGTAAGTTAGAAAAAAAAGTTTTTGTCCTCCCTACCCGCAGGAGCACTCTGCAAGCTTCAGCAGGGCTGGGGGAAGACAAAAACTTCCCTTTTTTGTGAAAACAGGCTTTTTAAAAAATGGAGGCATTTTTGCCTTCCCCCAGCCCTGCTGAAGCCTGCGAAGTGGTTCTGGGGGCTGGGGGAGGTCAAAAACTCTTCCATTTTTGTGAAAAATGGCCCATTTTTCGCAAAAATGGGATGTGGGGATGGGGCTTCAGGAGGCCAAAAATGTCTGTATTCAGTGTACAAGACTCACCAACATTGCCACGCTTTTTTAGGGAGGGGAAGGTGCGTCTTATACTCTGAAAAATAGTTGAGCAAGAGAGGGTTAAAATATTGTGGGATGTTTTAACCAAAACTAATCAAGTTTTGTTTAATAACATGCTAAATAACAGAGTGCCAAGAGCTAAAAATCAAAACTGAAAGATTATAGAATAAATCAACAACAGTTATCAGCACCAGAGTGCCATATTAAAAAATCTGGGACAACAGTTATAAAATCTAAGCATTGTAAAAATTTCCACCAGTCAATTGCAAAAAAACTGTACTGCTTGGATCCACAAATATATTATGCTGAAATATTATCACACTCTAGATCAGTGATGGTGAACCTTTTTTGGCTCCTGTGCCAAAAGCGGGGGGAGCGCCGGGGTGTCGTGCGTAGGCATGCCATACCCATAATGCTATGTGTGCGACACTTTCCACCGGATGCGCATATGCGCTCGACCAATGACACCCCCCCACACTTTTGGCCTGGTTTTTTTGCCTTCTCCGGGCTCTAGGTCTAGGGGCTTTCTAGGAGCCTAAGGAGGGTGAAAACAGCCTCCCCTGCCCCCCTCCGGAAGCCCTCCGGAGGCCTCAGGAGTTCCCTGAAGGCTCTGGAGGGCAAAAAACGGACCTACAGGGAAGCCAGAAGTTCAGGAATTGTGATTTGCGATTTGTCCAGAGGGCCTCGGGAGGGTCAAAAAAGGCCTCAAAAGAAGGCCGAAGTCAGTTGGCCAGTGTATGCATGCACGCTGGCCAGATGACAGGGCAGCACCTCACATGCCCTAACAAATGGCTTTCTGGCACGCGTGCCATAGGTTCGCCATCATGACTCTAAGTTCTTGGGAAGAACTTGATGTATATGAGGGACAATGTCAGCTAGAGAACTGGCAGCTGTGATTTCACATTGTTGTGTGCATAACATCTGTGTATCCCAAGTT